CCCCCCAAAATAAAAATTAAAAAAAAAATAAAAAATGCAGCAAGAACTATATCTGTCAAAGAAGAAGAGTCAAGAAGGAATGGAATGAAAAGTTCGGATGGAATGTGCCTATGAATTATTCCTCTTTCAAGCTCATTATGCTCATTCCCCCTCTGAGATAATTTCTCAATGAGAATGTGATTTTCAGTCTGTAGTTGTATTACATCATTTCTTAGTGATTTGATGGTGTGAAAACACTTCCTGATGTCGAATTCCAAAAACCAGCGAGATGTTCCCCTAAAAAAAGTTGTCGAGGAAAATTTTAATTTCCATCATTCAATATATTCATTCCGTAAAAAACATAATAGATGAACTGTCATGGCTTTTCCTTTTGAAGATGGCATTGAAATTGATTACTGACTCTTGGACTCTATTGTGATTATGGTCTTTTTTTTTTCTTTTTTTTTTTTTGTGAGATAGTGGTGGGCTCCCACATAATTAATACTTTTAACTAACAAATTCATTCTTAGCCACCTTTTGAATTTATTTGTTTGGAAAATGATGATGGGTTCCATACTAATGATTAAAGACATTAATAAACTTTTTTTTAATATGATTGAAAAATGAACTCCAAAAAAAAAAAAAAGTTTGTAATCAGTTGTAATTTTTTTAAAAAAATAAATTTACATTAAAGATTATAACTGAATACGTGAAAATAAAAATCTAATATATTATGGCTTGTCGTGGTAAATATAATTTTTATTCCAGCTCGTACTAAGGTGGACCAAACTAATGTGCATGCTAATGAATTTAATATTTGTACCAACATGATAGAGATGGTCACCGAAGTGTCACAAATAAAGCTAGGTAGCCACTTTGCTGCAATTCAATTGGCTACAACAAATCTAGCATGGTATAAAAGGACACATCAATATACACGTGGCCAATCAAGAATGGTTTTCTCTCTTTCAATTATTGGACCATCCAATTCTTATTTTACAATTGATGGGATTAAATCCCTCTTTAAATATGACTACTAGGTCTTTTAGAAATATTTTGCAGATTGAAGTGTTCTAGCTTTCAAAATGGAAAACGTTTACCGTAATTTGTACCCACAAACAAACAAAGTTTGTCGCAGACAACAAGTGCATGAACTTAGTTTGAATAAGATAATATTATATACATTATACTGTAACCTTGTTTAGTAGGGATTAAAATCTAAGGAAAATTTCATAAGAGTTTAAGTTTCACCCATTTCAAAATCAAGAAAATAAGTTCCAAATTTTAAAAATTAGATTTTTATTAAAATTTATTTAAGATTTATTTAATTATTTAATTGATTAAATATATTTACGTCATAGATGTATACAATTTACTCATAAATTAATAATTTAATTAGTCACTTATTATTTTTTGGTCACAAATTATAAATTTTATGGTTTAAAAAAAATTTACGATCACAGTTCAAAAATTTTGTAAATCACAGTTTATTCATCGGTCAAAAATTAAAAAATTAATTAGTCACGAATTAATTTTTAGTCACAACATATCAAATTATTAGTCACAAGTTATTCCTTGATTACAAATAAAAAATTTTATAGGTCACAAATCACAAATATTATATGTCACAACTTATTAGACAGTCACAAATTATTAATTTTTTAAGTCATACATTATTTCTTGATCACAATTTATTTTTTCATTGGTCACATATTATTTATTGGTTACAGATCAACCAATTCAGTGATTACAATCAATCAAATAATTTGTGACAACTACCAATACTTACGACCACCACTTCAATGCTACCACCACAGTCACCGCCAACCACCACCAGCGACGTCGCCCACCGCCACCACCATCGACATTACCACCACTATAACACCAATAGCAACACCACCACCATCGCGGCGAGCGCCACACGAACAACGACGCTAAGGCATTGCACACTGACCTATACTACTACCATAGCCACCACTATAAAGCTAGGGTTGGCAACGGTTCGGTTCCATTAAAACCATCACTGAACCGCCAATTTTTTTGGCTACAACATAACCACGTAAGTCGGTTCGGTTAGATTCGGTTCATATCTCGGTTCGGCTCGTTAATAACCACGAAAATAAATTATTTTTTATAAATCCAGCCGTTAAATTAAAAAAAAATTATGAAAAAAGTCAATGAAAACAAAAACATAATACTAAGCCAATGTAGCAAACAAGATCACAAATGAAAATGCAAACAATGTCCCAATTCTCAAATGCAAAATCTAAATTTAACAAACAATATTATCAACATAACAAAACCAAACAATATCTTTGTCCCTTAATCCTTGTACATTGAATTTGATTCCTACTCAATAACTCAAAAGCTCCAACCTCAATTTATATTCAATCTTCATTCTTCCCACAACTCTTACCAGCATACATCAAAACTCAAAACTGATTCCTATATAGTAAATAAGAAATGTAAGTAGAGTAATAATACAAACATATTACCTAATTCAGAATGGTCTTAACTAAAGATTTAAACAAAAAAAATATACCTCTTCATCAACATCCTCGTCACCAAACCTTGCACAAGCTCCAAAGTATGATGAAGTAGCAGAATTTCTACACACAAAAGAGAAAAAATTAGCAATAAAATACCCTCCTATTTGGGGATGGCGATGCCAAGCAAGAAAGAATACGGTGTGGAGAAGAAAAAAAAATTTGGGGACGCACTGTAGAGACTCGAGTGAAGACGGCTGTCGGCTAATGTCTTGTGGAATTTGATTCCAATTTTCTTTGTGATAGGGTTAGTACTTAGTAGGTAAGTGGTAGCTAGGTTAGGTTACTTATGGGTCAGTAATGGGCCATAAATTTTGGGCTAGACGAATTATAATAGAAAGAATAATGGAAAGTCTAATAGCCCAATTTTAATCTATTTGGGGCGGAGCAACGACGCAAATACTATACCCGTCCCACCTCGAATCATGTCACTAAAATCAAATACCATATATGCCCTATTGCACCATCGGTTCAATTTTTTGCCCCATTCGATTCGATTAACTATGGTTTTCAATTTTGACAATTTGAATTGTCATCTCTATATAAAACTGTCACATACAAAACAGCACCCAAAATTGCCACCACATAAACACCACCTAACACTGCCACCACAAAAACACTACCCAAAGCCGCCACCTCACAAGCACCATGAACACTACCACACAAAATCAGAAAAACACCACAGCCACCACCACAAAATCTCTACCATACAAAAACACCATCACCTAAGAAGAGTCACCGGAGTGAGATGGTGGATCTGCCTCGCAAATACTGCTTCATCGACACCCGATCACGAATCACAAATTACAGCTCACAATATTTGTCTAACATTGCCGATTAACATAGTCAGGGCATTGTACAGATCGAGAAGCGTGTTGAGCGACGACGACGATGGAGAAGAGAAAGTGAGGGATAGGAAGAGACGAGCGAGGGAGAGGGAGGAGATGGGGGCAACCGTCGCCGGAGAAGAAAAAGTGAGGGAGAGAGAGAGAAGAGCGAGGGAGATGGAAAAGATAGGGGTTGTGTCTTTTGCTTGGTAGTGAGTAGGGTGTCTTCTTTTTTTTTGGGTAATTAGTTTATTTAAATAATTTAAAAATTTTGATTTTTGAAATGTCAAACTTCCCATCTGGTTTACGAATTTGGAATAATTAAAATATGGTTTTGTGTAATTTCCACCAAAATCTAAGGGGGTGTTTGAGTCATATTATTTTTGAAAAATGTATTTTGAAATAATAGATTGATGAAAAATGTGTGGTTAAAAAAAGGGAGGGAAAGTTTTTTATTTGCATGTAATATTATTTTAATGAAGAATTTATGGTTAAAAAGAAGAGAGAAAAATGTATTTCAAAAAAAATGGAAATCAAACACCCTTTAAATTTTAACCTAAATCAGAGTTAACAATTAATTTTAATCACATATTTCATGATATCAAAAACTTTTCAATCACATATTTCAATAACTTTTATCAAAATGTACTAAAAATCTTATTCTAATCTCATTAACAAGGCTATTTATTTTTGGACTAGTCTATTTGTTCACTTTTAGTTTACAAATCCTTTATTTTTAGTAATTACATATGTTCAACTTGTAGTATTCATTTAACCTGAATGTGTGAGACATAAAGCCTTCCAATAAGTACAATTATACAATCACGAGCGATTTAATGAAACAAGTGTTTTGTCATTTGTATCAACTTGTGTATGTGTTATGATAGAATGACTAACATTCTTTCAGTAATGTAGATTATTAGTGTTCTTTTTACTTTCGTCATGTCTCCAACAATTTAGACTTTCAACTTATTGACACAGTGAATTCATAATTTTCTTACCAAACTTAAACTTTTGGATGGAGAGTTGCTAACTCAAAGCTCTTTCGCTTCACACTTACTTTCATTAGCTCTGTAGTACAGACATTAACTTTTTTTATGACCGTGGGTATCCAGACAGCTTACGCGTACATCAACTAATCCCATAAGACCTTGAAATTTACAGTCGAGTACTCACCTCAATGGCACTGAGGGGACTCGAACTAGTGACCATTGGGTAGCAAACAAAATGCTTGACCACTGACCTACCTCTCAAGGTTAGCACAGACACTCTAACTAGGATAGCATGTCCGTATCAAATACGTATCGACACTCTTCGAACACTCTATAATAATCATTGTTGTTTCTTACTATAGTTATTATATATTTTTAATTCAAAATTATTAATAAATAATAAATAAGTACTCATATTTAAAAGATTTCAATAAGCAAAATCAATTATAAGTATAAAACTAAATTTATACTATATAAATAAAAAATTTTAAAGAAGTTAATTAACGTGTCGACGTGTCATGTCGTGTCGGTACTTTTTTGAAAAATCACGAGTCAACGTATCCAACACGTATCGTGTTGGACACATGTGTCCATATCGGTACATCATAGTCCATTAAACTCAGAAATTCACCAACTAGACAGCACACGCATGGCAGGTCATCATAATTGCATGCTCCTCCAAGGACTCACTCTACATTAGGTCAATTGGCATGTTATTATCTCATCTAATAATGTGGGGTCACATTAAAGTCCTTAAAGTTTTGATTGGAAGGCCAATACTGGTTTCAATATGTTTGAACCCATCTTAACCTCATAATACTGCAATCCGCAAAAGTCTAGACATTTAAGAAAAGGAGAATGGCACTTGTGGTCCTCTTATTCTTGCTCATTTTTTCACTATCCTTAACTTCAAGTTTCACTTTTTTCACTTTCTCCCACTTGTCCATACAATTTTATCATAATTTCTTGTTTCTAAGGCATGGAAACAAGCCTAGCAGAAGTAAAGAGGGATGCAAAGGAAGCTACATTGGTTAAGGAAGAGGAAGATGGGGAAGATGAAGACGATAAATATATGAAGAGGGCATTGACTCTTACCACAATAAGGGCATCAAGTGCAGGAGGTTCCGTGCAGCCTTGTTGTCAGGTACAAGACTGTACTGTGGATATGGCTGGTGCTAGACCATATCATCGCCGGCACAAAGTCTGTGAGTTTCACTCCAAGGCTCCTGCAGTTCTTGTAGCTGGGCTCCAACAACGTTTCTGCCAGCAGTGCAGCAGGTTCAAATATTAAAACATTTGCAGTAATTTAAATTCTTTCTATCTGTTTCTGCATACTTGTTTGTGAATACAGACGGGCATAGAACTTCTAATTTATGGTCAATAGACAAAACTACAAACTGATCAGTTAACTGAAAGAGGACAAAATAAGGCAGTGTAGTATTTTTTTTTGCAATTCACCAAGGGAAATTTAGCCAACACTATATTAACACCTAAACAATTGACAAATTAATGAACTGAATAAGCAGCAACGGGAATATTTGCTATAAAAGAAGAATATTTTGAAGAAGGCGTGTAATGACATTAGTTGTATGATATTATGAGTTCATAAATAGACATTGCACAATAGTATGATTCCCAAATGTAACCTACTTGAAATACAGACCGGAGGCTAATAAATTACTTTAAAATCAGAGCAGAGTATAACGGTAGGTCCCAATCAGAATGTGTACACGCATAATGAGGCCTTTGGTTGGGGTTCTTATGGAGAACATGTTAATAAATAGTTGATTTTATGTAATTGAAATTTTATTTCTATGTAATTGTAATTGATTTAAAAGTAATCAGAATTGAAATGGTCAAAGATGCGAGTTCATAAATTTCAAACAAGCATGGTAATGGACATCCTTAGATTCAAAATCACAAAATACAAATTAATCCAGCAAGCAACCTATAAAAAAAAACATACTTGGGAATTTCATCAAACATTTTAAAGACGTCTGTAGATTATCATATGAATGACATATAGTTTTTATAATCTTGTACTACGTTTTTTAGCCAAAAACAAAAACTGATTATGGATGTTCTACGGTACACTAATTTGCATTATTTAACTGTTTCCAATTGCTACAATACTCAATCGCTTGGGCCAACTTAAGAATGAAAAAGCAAAACAGGCTTCATTTGTATGGTTACCGGATTCCATCCCGCAGGTTTCATGAGGTATCAGAATTTGATGAAGTCAAAAGAAGTTGCCGTGGGCGCTTGGCGATGCACAATGAGCGACGCCGCAAAATCCTAAATGATTCTCTTTGATATGATACTGATCTTGGAGGAAATCAAATTAATCACTACAAATATTAAATTGTGAATTCTCTAAGAAACGCATATAAAATGCTCTCTCTCTTCTGTCAATTTCTGGATTTCTTCTGATGTAGTTTGTCGATCAAACAATAAAGAGTGCGTTGGATTAAGCTTCAAAATTTACTAATAAGTGAATATAGCCTAAATTTGAATTTTAAATAAATGCAATGACATGTTGTGGGTTTTGCTAGTGTATATGTTAGTTTTTTTTATTACATCTTGTGAAAGAGATTACATATCGCACATGTATAGCTCTATTTTTTCTCAAATTCCTTTTTAATCACACGATCTTCCAATAAGCATCAATTTGAAAATATGAGGGAGAGAAATGATCTTGGAATCATAGTCGCCTTGTATGTAATGACACTCTACTTCAATACGTTTGGTGCGTTCATAATACACAGGATTAGCCGAGTAGGCTGTGATTGAAAAATAGCATATTCTACTAGAGGACCACGTAGATACACAATCTTAGAATATGAAGCTAACATAGAGCAATATTCAATCTCAGTGGAGGACTTAAAAACACAATTCTACTTCTTACATTTCTAAGAAATGAGAGCATCACCTAGAAAAATACACCACCCAGTAGTAGATTAATGAGAATCGGGGCAATCGCCTAGTCAGCATCACTATAAGTGGTGAGTTTAAGAGACATGACCCTAGGGAAGAATAGACCACGATGAAGTGTCCCATTAAGATAGCGAATTATGCGGTGGACAACTATTAATGTAGATGACGCGGAGCATGCATACATTTGTTGATGGTATGGACTACAAAGAAAATATCCGGACGTGTGATAGTGAGATAGATGAGAATACCGACAAATTTCTAGTATAAAGTATGGTCTGGAATAATAGCACCTTCATCTTTTCGATATTTAAGATTAACCTCTAACTGAATATCAACTGAGATGGCTTCAAATAAATCAGGGAACCTAATCAAATCTTGAATATATTTATGTTGATTCAAGAAAATACTATGTAGTGCTTTGTAAACTTCTAAGCTAAAGAAGTAAGGCTGTGATCAAACCTTCTAAGTAAGGTTGTGATCAAATCCAGAAATAATAATACCCACATATAACAAGAAAATGATGCTAGCAGTACTCTTGTAAAAAGAACAGAGATGCTTTATACTGACTTTGAATGAAGGAAAAAACCAAAAGAGTACGATAGAACTTGTCAAATCATACTCGAAGATCCCGTTTCAAACCATGTAGGAAGCGTTTTAGCTTACATACAGAGTTAGTTGAAGGAGAGGCATACCAGATGGACCATTCATATAAATAACTTGAGATCTCTATGCAAGAATGTGTTCTTCACATCCATTTGATATAAAGACCACGACCAAAAAGTCGCAAGCGATAACAAGAAGTGAACAGTGGTCATTTTAGCCAAGGGAGCAAATGTCTCATCATAGTCGATTCCACCTGACATTACCTCAAGCAACCAATCAAGCTTCATAATGCTCGAGAGAACCATCAAAACGAAATTTGACTAAGTACACCCATTTACTTCCAATAGGTTTTATAGCCTGTGGACATAGCACAACATCCTAGGATTGGTTGGCCTCAAGGGACTCTAGTTTTGCACTCATTGCCTATTGCCAACATTGTTGTTACATAGCCTTTCTATAAGACAATGGTACGAAAATTGAGTAAAAGTAGCAGAAATAGAGCTATGGAAAGGAAAATCATACCTATCTGGTGGTCAAAGAACACAAAAAGTGGGATGAAGAGTGAAAGAAAGTGGAAGATTGGGAAGGCTTGGAAGACCATCATCTGATAAGAAAGCTCGAGAGGAGTGACCAGGGTAACATGCTTACGAGTATCAAGTGGATTCTATTGGAAAATCATGCATGACAAAGAACACAGGAGGATAAACATTATTAAGAGTAGGAGAAACAAACGATTTATGATATATACAATGATAGATAAGGCTTTATACCGCAAACATGAAGGAATAGAAAACTCAATGAGAAAAGCTCTTACCATGTCGAGAATGTGACAATTCTTGCACTTTGCCAGCCCATTTTGTTAAGGGATAGAAAGGCAAGATCATTGAGAAATAATACCATTGGTCTGAATGAAAGATTGAAACACATTAGATGTAAATTCACCTCTTGAGTCAGATCTTAAAATTTTGATTGAAGAGGAAAATTGATTGTCAATTAAAACAAGAAAAGCTTGAAAGCCAGAAAATGCCTTACTCTTTGCACAGAGAAAATAAACCCATATAAAGTGACTATAATCATCGATAAATGTAACAAGGTATTTATAACGAGCATGAGATATCACAAATGCAAGATCCCATATATTACTAGGAACAATATCGAAAATATGTAATGTGTAAGAGCTATGAGACACGACAGTAAATCCTTAATTTTAGCTAGTTTACATAAAGCACAATCAAGAAAAATAGATGAACCAAAGTAGAAATCTTATTACCAAGCAATCCAGAATTTAACAAGTATTGTAACACATTAGAATTAGGATGACCCAGTTTCTTATGCTAATCAAAAATATCAAAAGTAGCAGAATTATAAACAATAGGAAAAAACATATCAAGCTTCGATAATACATGAAAGAGATGTCCTTCCTTAGGCCCCTCTTACGATCATCATCTCGGACACCTAATCTTGCACATGAGAACCAAAAGAAGAAAAATGATACAATACAATCGCTATCAACAAGTCAACCAATACAAATAAGATTAGTTGATAAACTAGGAGAGAACAAAACTTTAGGTAAATCTGCTGAGATTGGAAGAGTGTTACCATAGGCTTTTTGTATATTGAGATGTCCAGTATACGGTCTAAGATTATTAAGCAATAGAGGATCCCGAGTCATATAATTAGAAGCACCTTAATCTAATAGCCAAGAAGAGATAAAGTAGAAATGATCATTTGTTAGATCATCTAGAGAGTGATGGAGTTTTGGACAAGGGGCGAGGTCGCAAAAACAAACCAAGGTAGGTTGAGACAAAGCAAACACCACCAAAGGCTTTCAGATCTCTACCCCATTAAGAGAAGTCAACACCATGATCGGAGGTCTTATATAGGTAGAAAAACAAAGAATAAAAGAGCTATGTTCGTGCCTCAGAAAGCCCATAAAAGAATTAATTTGGATTTGATTTATTCCTAAATATGCATCTCTTCTAGTTACTTTTAATAACAATGATGAGCAAGGAGTCATATATTCTGACATCGGAATTGAGGGCAAGACAAATGAAGTAACACAGAACACACAATGAAAGATCAACTTGTCACCTAAAGGAGTCAACCAATGAGATAAGAAAAAAGAACAAGAAGAAATCTTTCTTCTCAAGAAGTCAAATGCTCAATAAAACACACTTTAAATCTGTCTTCTACTACAATGAAAAAGAGTACTTATAGGCTAGAACATCTCTCTAATCATAGGTATTCCCAATTAAAAATAAATTGATTACCAACCTATGAAATTAGAAGAATCAGACTAAGAACAAAGTAGACTTACTGAAAAGTAAAAGACATCAATGTAGAAAATGATCTAAAGAGTTGTTCAAAAACACCGATTCCCACGGGTGTTGAAGGCAGTTCTGCATAGCTTACAAAAATACTCGTATCTCCATATAGACAAACCAAGCCCCTGTTTGAGCTTCATTTTGGGTGGAGGGGGGAAGAATGCATGTTGAATAGTAGATTGATGGAGAAGTGTGGTTAACAATTAAGAAAAAGTTTTGGGTTTGTATGTTATTAAAAAATGTGTGGTTGAAAATGAATTTTTGGAATAATGAGCTTAAACAAGGGCCAAAAGTGCAAACTGTTTTATTTTATTTTATTTTTTTGTATGTAACTATACTCATAGATTTTTTTCAAATATATAAAATTTGTGAACTAGAAAAGCGTAAGAGAAAGTAGGTTATTCAATAAATTGGGATGAAATACAAAGTGACATTCCCACGTTATATTCTCTCTGTGATGCATTGGTAGTACAGGCTGTAATAGCTAGTAACAATCTTAACCGCATGTTGGTGGATAATGACAACTCTGTTAATATTTTGTTTGAAGGTGCTTTTGACCAAATGAATATTGATCACCATTGTATACCCATGGCTAAACCTATATATGGTTTTGATTTCAAGAAGATAAATTACATTAACAATTAAGCTCAACGAATATCCAATTGCATTTCAAGAACACATGGACTTTCTAGTCATGGATGGCAAATCTGCATTTAATGAGATCTTAGAAAGACTCGTTTTAAAGCAATCGAAAATATTAACATTTATACATCTCTTGTGCCTGAAATTTGAAACTCCCCAAAGGATAGTATCAAGGGAAACCAAGCTGCCATGTGAGAATTTTGTTTTAGCGCTTTACAAAAAGCATCTCCCAAAACCTCTAGTGGGTAGTACCATATTTATTGTTGAAAAGAAGGAAAACATGCTTGGAAATCCTTTTCTAAGAAAGAAGTATCTGATGCTACGAAGGAAAAATTGAAATACCTATCCGCTAGTAAGGTAACTTTGCAAGAACTAAAGGAACCATCGGTCTTGTTATGGTTATTTAATTAAAATTCATTTGAAAAGATGAGTTGTGGAAATGTTAAATAAATACGAGAACGATGGATTCTTTTATTGACAGAAACTCATTATAAATGCATCTATGTAAAGCATAATTAATAACAAATGAATAATACAGCAACCTAACAAGATGGGTAATTGAACCAATTCATACAATTTAAATTATGATATTTCATTAGTGAATTGTCAAAACAGCATTTTCATACAAAAAGAAATGAAATTTCATTAACACTAACAAGAGACAAAACGTGAGCTATTTATTTAAATTGACAAACGGTCGAAAATTCCCAAAAGTGGGATCATTTTTGCTAATTGATGTATTACTCTCAAGAGTACACTTGATTAACAGGGGAAGGAGTATCGATAGATGCATCCATTGGCGTGTCCCTAACAATGGCTTCACTAGGAGAAATAATTGATGAGTCTTCAAATTAAGCAGATTGATGGATCATCAGAAGCATCGACGGCTAATAGAGTGTCCTCGTAGAATAAGGTGCCCTAGCATCCACATTGTGAACCTCCAGGAAATCATAGTCTTATTCAGAACGAAAATTCCTAGTTATGTCTAGAACCTTGTTACCCTCATCTTGTATAGTCTTTTTAAGAAGCTTTACCTTAGAAAGGCTAGATTTC